CCTACACACAGTCAGAGACAACATAAATATTACGGTGTGCTGGCCTTGGAAGGGAGGCAGAGGTTTAAGATCATGACTCCTGAGAGCTCTGATAAGTCTTCAGTTAGCTTGAGACAGCTTAAACCTACTAGGTGCTTGATGCACTTGCATTCATGTAGTATTGAGCACAGATCAGCCTTTCTTCTCTTAGTCCCACAGATTTTCCATCTGGGAACCTCTTTTGGGAGTTATCTGTCTCACTCCAGCAGTTACTCTGGTTATGGGTGTGCTAGAAGCAGCATGCATGGTTGGTTATGAACTAAAAAGAGCAATGCAGCTGTAACTTAGGACTCCTGTATGCTTCCGGCTGACAAGCCAGAAGTAGACAGCCTTCCCTGCTTCAGATTGTCACCCAAAAATTTCACCTTTTAAGTGCCTCGTGTAGGTTTGCAATTTAGGTGACCTGTCACTGCAGTTTGTCTGAGCCATTCATCCTTCTCCTTGCCTGCTGCTCAGTATTGTTACTTTTCTCGTGTTTGTGTCTGCCTAAGATTCAGTTTTCTTTGCAGACTCAGTGCTCCCATGTGGTAACTATTAACCAGCAGGTAGCAGGTTAACAGCACCTGTACCTGTGCTCCCAGGGAGGCCTGTAGATTTTCTGAGGGCAACACAGATGCTCTTCTAATCAGTGTAACGATCCCTCCTGAGTGTATACAGGGATTTTAGTTTGAGAAGGAGATCTAGAAACCTCCCAGCAGTCTGGTGGACACAGCACTTAAAATACCAACCAGAGGAAACTTGGACCTAGATCCAGCAAATATTTGGGTCTCATCTTCCCTTTGATTTTAACCAGCCCTAAACCCTGACCTGTAGCCTTCCCAATCAGCTAATATTACAATGTGGAGCAAAGCAACATTTAACCTTTGAAAATTTGGGCTATAGTATAAAGCTTTTCAACACTTTGAATTTTTTTTCCCTGTAGGCATATACAAATATTCAGAGAACCAGATGTTAGTAAACTGAAGAAAAACTATTGCCGCAATCCAGATGATGATTTTCATGGTCCCTGGTGTTACACAGATGATCCTCTCGTTCCCTGGGATTACTGCCCTATTTCTCGATGTGAGTACTTGGTATGCCTCAGGCATTGCAAATTGTGCAGTCCCAGTGAACCCATGGTGTCACATGGGTATGCATACCTTTCTCTTGTCACTCGTGACAGCATAAAATGTGTAATTCTATCAAAAATCAATTGTGCATGACTGAGAAGGAACTGACAGAAGCTGCATGTGCAATATATGAACAAAAGGTCCTTTTCCTTGACCAGATTGGAGATCTCAAGACTTATTTATGCAGCGGGAGCATAATAGGGCTATTACAGATTTGCAAATATTTTCCAACAGATCTTGCTATTGAATGAGGGTTGGGCAGAGACAAAGACTCATCTAGTGGTCAGAATGCTGTCTGTGGCCTGGAGAAACCCAGGCACAGTTATCTTCTGTGCTACAAGCTTTATAGTCTCTTTGTGTGATCTGTATTTGTAAAGTTAGGATAATTCTCTATGTATATGCTGAAGTATATATGCGCTACAGAGATTAGATTCTGCTTTCAGATGTTTATGGGGTGATTTAACTCCTGACAAGAATTAGGAACATCACTCCTCCAAAGCTGCATATCAAAATCTGAATAGCTTAAATAAACAGAATTAAAAATCCTAGGGAATTCAGTAATAAACTGACATTACGTGGAAAAAGATTTATGCTGAAAAATGTGCAAGTCACATTTATGTTCAAAATTTTTCTCTTCAGTTCTTATTTCTTAATCTTTGTGCTGCATATCCTGGGAGAACATTTAAATGGTAAATCAAGCCTTTGAATGCATGTCTATGATCTCCAGAGGTTAAGGATAATGTTACATTCATTCCTAGCAGCAATCTGCTCCATTTCTACATAGTCTGAACTGTAGCATCTCTAAGAGATGATATTTGAAGTCTCAGGTGATATTTTGGCATCTATGTGAAGAGTAAACAAACTGTGCGAAAGGTTATTTTTGTTAATGTAGATAAAGAACAGCAGCTGAAGAAACATAAATATTATTCACTCATTCTGAGTTCATTATTTGGAGCTATGAATTCCTAAGGAAATATTCACAGCAAATATTTGTAGGGTATGTGGCGAAGGTGAGTATTATGATTTCTGGAATAAAACTGCAGTGCTGGAATATGTCTGATTTAGAGTTGTAACTTATGTGGACTAGTATTAAACTACTAGTAGCTCACTCAGGTACTGATAACGAACCTAACCAATACAGACAAAATGCTTTCAGTTCCCAAGTGTACATTGTTGGTGTCTTTAACTGGTCTTTTCAAACTGCACTACATATATAAATCTATAAAGGTATACAGATATATATATAAAAAATATATAGATATATATTTATAAAGGTATACAGTTATATACAGTTAGGCTTCAATGTGTATGTATACACATGCATATGTGTATACATAAGTATACATATGTATATATATACTTAATGCTGGAAATCTAGTTGGATGAGACTGTTTAAATTTTGTCTGTGCAAATTTTCAGTAGCTACACCTGTATGTCTAGTGTATAATGCTGGGTCACTCTGCAGACTTCACTGACACAAAAAATTTTGAGCCAAGTTTAAGCAAACTTATGGTCTTCTGAGTTGTACTCGATGGAAAAAAACAAACAAGAGTTTGGGGAAAATGTTTTGATAAGAACATTATTTTGCTGATAGCAACATAAAAGCACTTCTGAAGTTTCAAAAGTTTTTTAAAGAACTTGAAAATTTTCATTAAATCTCAGTTGCATTTAATCACATGACTTTTATAGTTCCTGAAAGCTTATAGAAAAGATACAACTTATTTTTTCAGCATTTGCTTGTTCAAATGAAACATGTAAATGGAACATGATAGATAGCCTGATGTATTCAGGATTCAGCTAATAGTAGAAATGCTTGAAACTCCTGTTGCAAACAGTTTCATTCTTATTCTATTAGAATTAACTTCTGCCTTCTTGTTAATCCTTACCAAATTGTGCTTTTGCAAAGTATTAAGGAAATCATTGACGTTTTAAACTTTGTGAAGTACAAAATTAACAACATGCTATTTGCTGTTTATTTGTACTCTTCAATTTTTAGATGTGTTTTAATTTTGTATTGTGGATATGTTATGTGTCTGTGTAGGTGAAGGTGATACAACTCCTACTACAGCCAGCTTGGATGGTAAGTTTGCAAATGTACTGTGCAGTGCATGTATTTTATCCTCTAAGACTTGCTATTTCTTTCTGAGTTAAGGATACAAAAAACCACAAAGCTTGGAAAAATTGCTCTTACAAGAGGAAAATGTAGAATAGCTTTATTATATTCCTTTATCTATTCCTACTGTCCCATCTTGCCAGGGGTGAGATATGGTAATGATTTTAATGTTTACTTTGCAACCATGTAAATCTCAGTAATAAACCTATTTTTTATAT